CCCCTGTCCGCCCTCTATGCCGCCAAGTTGATCAAGGAAGCTGGCTTCCCCCCTGGTGTCATCAACATTATTTCTGGCTTCGGTCGTACTGCCGGAGCTGCTATTGCTAGCCATATGGACATCGACAAGGTTGCTTTCACTGGTTCCACCCTGGTCGGACGTAACATCCTCCAGGCTGCCGCCAAGAGCAACCTCAAGAAGGTGACTCTCGAGCTTGGTGGAAAGTCCCCCAACATTGTCTTTGAGGATGCCGACATTGAGAACGTACGTTTAGCCCCATAAATTCCCCGCCTCGTGCAACATGAAAAATCATTCCTTTCTAACATATCTTGCGCAAATCATAGGCTTTGAAATGGGCGTCGTTCGGAATCTATTTCAACCATGGCCAGTGCTGCTGTGCGGGATCCCGTATTCTTGTCCAGGAGTCGATCTATGAGAAGTTCCTGGCTCGGTTCAAGGAGCGCTCAGAACAGAACAAAGTCGGCGATCCTTTCGATCCCCAGACATTCCAAGGACCCCAGGTTTCGCAACTTCAGTTTGATCGCATCATGGGCTACATTCAAGACGGAAAGCAGGCTGGTGCAAGAGTGGTTACTGGCGGAGAACGCCTTGGTGACAAGGGATATTTCATCAAGCCCACTATCTTTGCGGATGTCAACGGCGATATGAAGATTGTTCAAGAGGAGATCTTCGGCCCTGTCTGCACAGTGCAGAAATTCAGCACCGAGGAGGAGGCCATCAAGCTTGCGAACAGCACCAACTATGGTAGGTGTATCCAGATACCCAGCTGCTTTACCCATGCTAATCTCATGCCCAGGTCTTGCCTCTGCTGTCCACACCAAGAACATCAATACAGCAATTCGTGTATCAAACGCCATCAAGGCTGGAAGCGTCTGGGTCAACAATTACAATATGATCTTCCCCCAGGCACCATTCGGTGGCTACAAGGAATCGGGACTTGGCCGTGAACTCGGCTCTTATGCTCTTGAGAACTATACTCAGGTCAAGACAGTGCACATCCGGACAGGCGATTGCCCGTTCCCCTGAAGCAGTGACACAGTGCGCTTCCGAAGGAAGGTTATCTGATTAACGAATTTTTTTTGTTTATCACGTTCAGGCTCAAAAAGTCTTTCAAGGATGATGACTCTCAGATAGTAACATTTAGTCCTTTGAATGATAATTAGCGATGTCAGCAACTGGACCCGTACCTGGACTTGAAGCCGCCTATCTAGTTTGTATTTCTACTTGTAGCAGTACTATTAGTTCACTAGCAGTATGACGCCGTGCCAGACACGCAGTGATAAAGTCAGTTGCCTCGTCTTCTGCCTTCATCCAGAAGACTGTACAGTTCAGTCATGCCAAAATCACCTACTTGTTTCTAATACTCCGTTAATTACTAGTCATATCAATCATAACCCATCCAGCGAAAAACAGTCATCGCAAAAAACAAACACAGCAACGATGTCTTCACCACCTCAATCTCCTCTTCATGGCGCCGCAACCAATTCCGCGCTCGTCCCACCCACACATACCCCCCGTCATCCCTGATCGCAGACCACAGTCCCGGCAACCCATCCAAACTGCTCGCATTCCACTCCCGCTGATACGAGCGGAGCTTGCCCTTCTCGACCGTCTTGCTGGCAAAATGCCCGAGCGTCTCCCGGTCCTTGAGATACGGTTTCGGCTCGTGAGTCTCCGGGTCGAGTTTGAGAGCCAGTTGCGGGACCCCGAACCCGCAGGAGGTTTGGACCTGCACAAACAAACCTTAGTGACTGTCCTTACCACCACTGTACTCGTACTCAAATCAAAAGATAATGGTAATAACACTGCAAACGAAGTAATCAGACCTTAAAAACATCCAACCTGATAATCGCCCTCGCCCCAATAACGCTCTTATTCCCCATGCGTTCGAGATACGTCGCGAACTCAGGCTGATCCCACTCAATCACCGAGCCAGTACAGAAAAAGCGCAGGATGCGCGGCGCAGCGTCAAACGAGCAGAAGAGGATCGTTATCCGCCCATTTTCTCGCAGGTGGCAGATGGTCTCGTTGCCGGATCCTGTTGCGTCGATGTAGGCCGCTTCGTTGGGGCCGAGGATGGCGAACGAGGCATCGGGGAGGCCCTTGGGGGAGAGGTTGATGTGTTTGCCGCGGAGGGGGGCCGAGGCTACGAAGAAGATGCTCTGGCGGAGGGCCCAGTCGTGGAGGTCTGGGGTGATCGAAGGGTAGAATTTACCCATGGTGTGGTTGATGAGGATGGAGACCCCTCGAATATTCGTACGATTCTCCGTGGTGAGATGTCAATTGACGGTCGAGAATGAGTCACCAGTCACCTGGCTGACAATGCGGGGATTCGTATTCGGAGTCCTACACAGACTCCAAACGAGAATACCGCTCCGCATGTTCATCTTACTCCTGCCTCCGCAAATAATCGCCATTATTGGAGGTGAATTTTATTAAGTCGCACCTCTGTAGTCATTATGAATTCCTGTCTTCTGGTCCCAGTGAAACTTGTGTTTGAGACAACAGGCTCTTCAGGCAGCGCAAGTAATTATCCTGCGGGAAAGGAGCCATCTTCTTGAAAGCTTTTTTATCTCGGATGATCTTTGATTGTTTAGTAACAAGTCACATTTATCATTCTGGAAACTGAGACTGGAGTCTTGTCTCTCCACTAGAGATGCTTGGAACTGTGTACTGTCGTGTCGGGGTAGAATAACCCGAGGGGTCTCGCGTTGCATTACTCCGTGCCCCGAACGATCCTCAGCCATTCCTCCACATCCAGTGTTGACTTCACCTTGGCCCTTGGGTGAAATCATACTTGTGGCCCTGTACGGAAATTGTTTAAAATTTGAACGAATTGGATGGATCAGTGTCTTCGCTTTCTATTAACATACAATACCACTAGGCTAAAAGGGTGTCCGGACGATGTACTCGTCAGTCTAGGGATACATATCCACTCTGCGCCAGAGACTCGTTACGAAACAATCTCTGCGAGATCATAGGATTTTCTCAGAAAGAAACGCTACACACTTTCTTGATTACACCATGTCACCTCAAAGGACAAGAGCATAGCCAAGATACTACCCCAACCTTTGTTCTCAAGTGTAGTCCTATCAGGCATAGATTCGATAAAGAGGGCCGGTATGGTTACTAAGTAAACAGAGACAACGATATGCTCCCGCCACAGAGCTCTTCCAGATAGTCGACATCGTCGACCGGGGGTAAATTCAGCGGTTTTCATAAGGAACGGTGATGCCCGAATCGATGTAAAGACAAAGGGATTGAGGATAAAAACCCGTTCAGGCGCAATTTTTGTGTTGCTTTTGAGAATTTTGCTTCCCATCTCTTCAGCCTTCCATTTGTAATAACAAAATGGAAAGAGTATTGCTGCATACTAGCAAGGCGACTTCGCATGCTACGGCATCCGCGTTGAGATCGAGAAAGGGTTTTGACCGAAACAGATAGTGGGTTGGTTCTGAAGAAGTCGAGGTTGGGGTCTTTATTGCCAGGCGCAGAGCAACCCACCTACTACATCCAAAAATCAGGGTCCGTCAACGATCGACGAAAACCAGGAAATATGGGGAGCAACGTACCTCTCGTAGGCTCAATCATTGTGAGGCGGTACGATAGAACTCTCTGGTGGCTTGTTCCTTCTGGAAAGGCATTTTCAAGCTTTGCCAGGCTCTTCTTGGCCAGCGCCCCGATGGCAATCGCACCGGGGAGCGCGAGACCGATGAGTCTCGACTGTAATAGGCGTATTGATGCTTTCGAGGTCATCGGAGGCTACAACACGTAGTGGTATACTCTGCCGAGTATAGAAGCTTTTTCTGCCTCTGCGGATTGCAAAGAGGACGATAAGTCGGCAACCGAGTCGGAGCCTTCCTTGAAGGCCATGACGGTGCCCGAGAAGCAATCGAGGACTTTCGATAGCTCTTTGGTTGCTGACAGGTCAGCGAGAATCGCAGGAGAATGACAGGGCTAGTAGAGAGATGACTTTGTCAACGGATGAGAGAATATGAGTGCTCAAGAGGGTATACAGGTGAGGGATTGGAAATGGGAGGAGAAAACAGGTCTATTCTTACTGGGAAGTTTGTCAGAATGTACCTTCGATATCCATATTGGCAGCCATTAGAAAACGCCTGTCAGTGGAGGCAATAAGGATTGAATGACATTGTCAAGTTATAGTATTGTAGGAAGGATTATTTCGCATTGACCAAGTCACTCACTTTCAAAGTGAAATTGCTTAATGAAATGAGAAAACTAGCGAGGAACGCAAGAAAGAAACACATGATGACAGAGATGTTTAAGGTGGAGTATACATTAGAGAATACTCGACTCAGTATGAGGGGTAAGGCTTGGGAGTCTCCGCGGCCTGGTAACAGTAGTGAAGGGGTTCTGTACTAGGAGGAGAAAGTCTGCCTGAGGTATTTAAGGGCCATATACTTAGACAAGTATTCACCAGTACATAAGATTATTAAGTAGATATGCTACAGCTTATTCACTTTCGCAGGCTTGGTAAAACTAAAATGATGAGGCCATTTAATCGCAGCGTACACAGTATTGTTGAGTAGGGCACCTCTATAATGTGATGTTTCAGAATGACATCTTCTGTTTCAGAACGAAACAACCTGCCCCCCAAATTGCCTGAACGGGTAGAAATGAAGCCATCTGTATTTCCTAACTCGGCATACAAGCATGAAATATGTGGAACAGCACCAACATACGGATGGAATAGTAGCCGGTTAAGAAGGTTGATACTGTATTGCATAAGATATACTCAATACAATAAAAGGTTAAAGACGCAAATCAACATGGCCAACTCTGAGCTTGGACCGTTGAACTCTCAATCTAGGATCATGGGCCACTAGTGACACATCATGACGGTTTGCAAAAACGGTACGCATGAATCAATAGCAGAAGGAAAGTCAAATTAAATGGTCAATTCGCAGTGTGGACTTGATACAATGCAGTATACATGCTAGTATGTACAGAAGATACATTCACAGTGGGTTCATATCACTCGTTCTGTCCTGCAGCGGAAGTGTTTCTTCTGTGAAGGGGAAGCTATCCCAAAACGGTAGCTCCATGCCCTCCCATTCCAAGGGGACGCTATTGATGTCAAAGGGACTCGTCAGTGTGGCTAGATTAACGGTGACCGCGCCCTCCGTCTGGCGTGATGCCCTACGGCCATTCAAGCTGAAAAGCTTGCTCACATATTGGCTTTTGCTGCTTTGGTCCTGGTTCGAGAGCCGTTGCCGTTGTTCGGCGATAGCGTTGCGGAGAAACGAGAGGATTTCGTAGTAGTGGCCCGCTTGGGCGGACTGCTGGGAGAACATGTGGAGGATGTCGATGGCGGCGGTGAAAGCTTCTTCGAGGTCGGGATTCGGGTCTTTTTGCGAGAAGAGCGAGAATCCGACGACGAGAGCTGCAGCGAAGATGAAGGCTCTGACGAAGATAATCATTTAGCATGTGTAGTAGGTTAGTCGGGTGTACAACTCACTTCATGATACACATATTTCCTAAGAGTAGATGGGAACGATGAATCTCCAGACAAGTTTGGAGCATGTAAAGAGCTGAGTCTGTGCAGGCGAGAGCCAGCCGGGAATGCACAGGATTTTCTGAGAAAACGTCACTCAGATTTCGTTCAGCGAGGCTGTCATGTAGTCGGGCCAGCCGCACACCTAGCGCTGATATCAGGAATGGTCTCGTAACAATGATGATGGCAAAGTGGTAGGAACAGGCGATGTGCAGGCTGCCTATGACGCGGTCCTGAGCAGCAAGACACTCCTGTTCTGTCCCTGGAGAAGCAAGCAAAGACTCCGGCAGACCATCGCTCCACCGCTTAAGCTTCTCCAGTATCGACTCGGCGACCTGCGCCGAGGCTGCCTTTTCGCTGTACAAGCGGGTGATCGTCTCATCCAGAATTTGCGCGAGATTATATAAAGCCACCAGTCGTTCCTCGGCAAGATCATTGCGCTGTAGTGCCTCAGTGATGCTGGTTCCTGATTCCGAGCGGAGTGAGGCTGTTGCGGGAGGTCGTCCGAGGATGGAGCTGACGAGGAGATCAAGGTTGCATAGACTCATCCAAACACATGCTCTATTTATGATCGTGCATTAGCTCGGAAGTGACATCACAGTGAACCATGGAGATACCTTCGGTGCTGTTCACTGACCGGTAGTGAGCCAGAGACATCGATGTGCAGACCAAGTGCCACAGCTGCTCGAGCGGCCACCCCAAGATACATGAAAGCCGCATTTCTGCGGCACGCCCCGAGCATGTAGAACGACATCAGCAGAAACAAGCTCACCATTTCCAGGCTGGGGTTCTCCAGCATGCTAACGAACGCCCGGCGTTGCCCCCTCGCAAAGAAGAAGTGCTCAATCTGCACTTTCGTTGGATCATGCTTATGCGACTGTGCGCCAATGGCAATCATGACGTCGAGTAGAGCTGTTGTATGTTGCGCATGGCCGGTGTCGGAGCGCCGATTATGTAGCATTTGCGTCAATTCGGAATCCGGCATCAGATAGAGGAACCCACTTGTCTGTAAGCACGGATAATCAGCGGGGGTATTTCCGGATGCCTCTGCGACGGACTAGGTTCAATAAGCCTCGGGCTGTTGTGGTATGGCTTACTGCAATCTGGTAAGCTCGGAGCAAGGCTTGACGCTGCTGGAGATCCAGCTGGTCCTCAAAGCCCGGCGAGACATTCTTGGGCGCTTCTGTTTCGAGCATGTCTTCAAGTTTAACATTGTGTGAGAACTGAGACGGGCCTATGTGTTGGGTGACTGTATCTCGAAGTAACTGCAGGAAGGATAGCGACGCGGCTCTGCCCACATAGACTGGATAGCACGTCAACTCGGGTGTTTCAGAAGGCATGATCAACTGCAGCACGTACCTCTTTCCCCTTGCAGGCTACGCAACATTCTAGGACGGGTTTTGTGCGGCGCTTCCGGAGAGGCCGATCCCTGGTCGACAGGTATCTCGAGCGGTGCATGACGCTGGGAATCTGTGGAAGACAGTACCTGGGGCGGCGTGATAGCAGCAACAGGTCCGCTTGGCGCATCCGGCGTGTTGGGTTGCCTTGAAGCTGAGAATGACTCCCTTCGTCTGCTTGGCATACACGAATGCGCCTGTCCCTTTCGAATGCAGTTTTGGCATGGGAATGATCCGCTACATCTCCTCTTGGATGTTCTGCAAAATAGACATGCCTCGTACGCCCGCAGACGATTGGCGGGATGCACTTTGGGTCGTGCCATAGCCGATCTCAGTGTTTAACGTAGACGCAGGTCCACATGTTCATGTCATCGGAAGTGACGCGGCCGTCGAAATATTTGCTGTCGAAGTAGCTTTGACACTTCCGATGATATTTTATTTCCGGCTCTGCAGGGGAAGATAAGGTCTCCCCGCATTTGAGCCATGCTTTACTATGCGGCGTATCGGTTATCGTCGCCGTCGAAAGTCCCGGCATGTTTGGATTGGTCAAGCGACCTCCAAGTGGGCGGGGAAACGTGTTGATCTCCAAATCTCCCCTTCCGACTTCCGGGTGATAATTCTCGTGACTTGATGTGTCTTAGGGCTTCCTTGATATTTGAACCGACTTCAACTAGGTTCAGTTAGGCATATAGTCATCATGCTTGATAGGATCAACTATAGAGAAATATCGCAATGGAGGTGTGGGTGGGTTGCCCATGGATATCGAAGACAACTGTTGCAGCCGAACACAATGTAGTAGTACGATATATATACTTGTGCTAGATAACAGGCCGCCACAACGCTACAACTCACAGGTCACTTAACATCGGCAGAATCTAGCTTGTTCTTCGGTAACACAGTAGATGAATACCTCAATAACATGGTCATTCAGAATAGGAACGAAAAATTGGATTCGAAGCCCATGAAAAGCTTTCGCGTTTTAAGATGAATGTTGGGGATATTAATCTATAGGCGTAAAACTAGATTTAGATCTTTGCCCCTTGGCCGAAGGGCTAGACCTGCAACTTTCTCTCTTTCTTTTTTTGGTTTATTTCTTTCAGGTCACTCGTTCGAGACCTGGACATCTAGTTCCAGCGTAAATAAAAATGAATGTCGAGACAAGCACACAAAAATGATCACCACAATAAAGTCATCGACAACAGGATGCAGCGGACGGAGAAGGCAAATACTGCAATGCCCCCGATTACTCTGGTTATTTTGAAAGTAGCCCGCATATATGTTTAGGCACTATACGCCTTAATGTCGGATCGCGGACCGTCCAAGAGCTGCAGTGTCTCTTTGAATGTGAGAAAAAATTCTATGTCGGCCATAGGGTGGTGGCGTTTCCAATTGTGTTTCCCAACACGAATGCAACCACAAGACTTCAATTTTTGTTCATATCAATTGCTGGACGCAATTGGTAAGCGCTCATACGGAGGAGTGAGTGCAACAGAAGAGGTCCATATCGGCCCACAGTATTGTAGAAGGGTGATACTCCTTACTCCGACCCGTTGTAACAGAGGCCATGGTCCCCAGACAGATACTGGCTGGCATTATGAACGGAGTCTAGACTACAGTTATCCATCCCTAAGCCTGTAATTTTGCTCTCTGCTTTGATGGAAAGTGTAGTACGCCATACGTGCATGAGTTCGACTTCGGCATGCCGAAATAGGTAAGGCACAGTCGGCAATGTAAACAACATAACAGGCCAGCCATAAGCCGGCAAATATGATAGGCGCGCAATTACTGCGCCAGTGTCATTTGACTTGTCTACCAAAGGCAGGCCAACAGTAAACGATCTTGTAAGAGAAGTTCAGGTTTAATAGACGCTGGATTGTCAAGACCACTGACAGCATGTACGCTGTCCTCTAAACGCTTGCCTTCAACTCCAATCAGGGTATCATATGAGTTGCTGTTTGTCATCGTATCCTCATAAAGTCGCTCAACAGCCACTGAGAAGCAGATATTCGAGGAACCATCCCTGATGTTGAAGTTTTACACTGGAGCCCATTCACCGGTGAGCTCGGGGACAGTCTGGCCAGCGGAGCGGAAAATCTTCCACCAACTCTGATTGGACCACCGGGCAGACCCACTGAACAAACCAAGCAAACAGGAAAATTTTCGCTTGAGGCTAGCGCACTCGCTAGCGCCAGGACGCAAATATAAAAGGCCCCGAAATCCCATTCATTTTGGAAATCAAGCGACTCTACGTATGTTCTCCCCCTCCCTACCTTTGGGAAAACCTCTCAACTGCGAGTCAAAACATCTTGCTAACAGCTCTGCCACAGTTCAAAGAATCACTTTAGAGTAGACGTCCCACCTCTGAGCTCTTCTAAAGAGCCACAGAATCTCCACCCTTGCTGATGACTGCTATGTCCTCGATGCCCTAAAGTGAAGCCGTTCTTACTCCCGCCTCGACCTTGCTTCGTTCCGACGCTCTGAACGACTTGTTGCAAAACGAGCTTGTTCGGGCTGTTGGATGTTGCTCTGGTCCAGGGAGTGGTGATGATCTTGACCTTGTCCTGACGTCTAGACTTCGGTCGGTCGGACTTGGTGGGTGTCGAGGAGGTCTGAAAGGTGCCCCTCTTTTTTACACTTTCATGTTGGTGTAATCAAGCGATTGGAGTTTGCTCAAACTTTCCCTTGCTTCAAATTAGATAGAAAGAATTTTAACTGTTCGGATGGAAAACTTGTTCTCACACAGTAGACTTGAATCGTGACTCGCTAAGATTTTAATCATTCTTCAAACACAATCGCTCCTTACTCCGTATGTCTACTCACAAATTATAGTCCGTCTTCTCACTCTCGATCGCTCTTGGGAGGCTTATGGTAAACTTTCGATCTGATAAGTCATAGAATATCGCTTTCATTTAAGTCATCAGATGGGTATCACTACTCCGTAACATGCAACAATCAGGTCCTGCATTTCTCATTTCGTCTCCCCACCGGTCTTCCCACTAGGTGTGTTTGAACTGGCATTTGCTCCGTTGCTCTTCGACCCGCCCTTGTTCCTGGATCCACGACCTCCCCGCGGTCCACGAGACGAGGATGGTGTTCCTGGTCCAGATCCTCCATCTGAGCCCTGCTTGGCACCACGATTGCCGTTGCCGTTGCTGCCATTAATCGGGGCGGGTTGCTCGCTTCGTCCCTTGCCGCGAGTCTTTTCTGCACCAGGATTGACCTTGCGTTCAAGCACGACGACTTGACTCTGCGCGACCGTGACAGGACTAGCGGCAATTGCCTTCTGAAGACCCTCCGGTTCTGCAAAGTCGATGTAGCCAAATCCCTTCTTTTTGTCAATCTCCACTTTCAAGATCTCCCCGAAAGGCGCAAATGCCGTTTCAAGTAATGGTTCTGTAACTCCCTGTGATGGATTGGCGTGTTTGAGAAACGCCTGTGTAGCCGTAGGTGAAGCGATTGGCGCGGCTGGCTTGCTTTTCGCTGATTTCGACTGCTTCGGTGCGGATGGAGTGCTTGTAGGGGCTGAATTTGGACCAGAATGAGCACGGGAAGACGCGGACTCGCCAGATGGAGGTGTAGCATTGGCTTTGCTCCTTGGAGTCCCTTGTTGCGATGGTGACGCGGGCTTCCCAGACTTAATATCCTTTTTGCCAGTCTCTGCGGTAGCAGCAGCGTCCGGCTCTTTCTTGCTTGAGTCCGTCTCTGTAGAAGCGCCTTTACCAGCCCTCCGACGACCGCCTGAAGGTGCAAGACCCAAGTCTCGCTGAAGGATCTTGGCTGCCGCAGCGACGTTATTACGCTCGCGTTTCCGTTCAGTTGGAGCAGCCTGAGGACTATCTTTGCTTGTGTTTTGGGTAGCTGCTGGTTTACCAGCCTGCTTAGCTGCAGCGCTGGCGGCCCTGTTTGCTGCTTTCACTGCCTCTTTCGTCGCTTTGTCAGAGGTCCTAGACTTCTTCTCTGCCTTGTCTCCTGTTGCTGCCAGGGCGACATCCTTGTCCGGCCGCTGCAAAAGTTTCTTCGCTTGTACCTTCTCCGACTTGGACTCTTTCTCGCCCTTGGCATGTCTCGAGGACTTGCTGGAGGCCTCTTTGGCTTTGTTGGCCTTCTTTTCCTTGATATACTGCACGAGAGGCGTGGTGGTAACGGTATCCTTCTTTTCCTCGGCATCGGTAGGCGTTTCAACGGTGGCAGGTTTCGTAATGGGCTGGGTCAGACTTTCGAGGAATGCGATGAATTCGGGATCTTGATCAATGGTACCCTGGCGGGCATCCTTCCGTACACGGGTACCAGGAATTTTGGCGTAGGGAGCGAACTCCAGAGAAGGTGGTCCCAAGAGCACGGGATCATTGAACGTGTTGCGAGCGTCTAGGAATGACGTTTGTCGAACTTTATCTGATAGAGGTGCAATATGCTCGCTGGATGTAACATGGATGTAGGCGCGGGAGGGCCTCGAAGGTTTGGCATGACTGTACCGATGTCAGTTAAAAGAGGCGCTGATTTGATCCTAGGAGCTGGCACTGACTCTTTGGATACCTTGCCTGGCTTGTACTGGTACCAGTCGACTTTTCCTGCTCCAACCATCCACTCTGAACCCAGAGCGTTTTCGAACTCGGATTGGGTTAAACCCGGCGGTAACCGTCTCACGAGCAACTTGAGTCGCGGAGCAGGTGGCTTCGGAGCTTTCCTGGAGGCTGTTGATGTATTCTTCTGTGTTGCAGCTGCAGGAATCTGAAGCACACCCCCTGTTGACTTGCCATCGGAAATCTGCGTCATGATGAACGGTTACGAGGGGTGGGTGGGATCTACGCTCCGACTGGGGTGCGACGAAACGTCAATCCCTGAGAATGAGGACGCTGCGGACAATCTGATATTCAAGAAGTCGAGGAAACAAGGACCAGTGAGGTTATAGTGAAGGTGAAGTTGGTTCTGAGTTGACGAAGATTTACCCTCCGGTTCAAGATGAAAACCAGCTGGATATGTTGCGGCGAGTGAACTACGGGACACGAGGGCCGCCAAGCACGCGACCCTGCACAGACGATCAGGGCCCAATTTCCTGCGGGGAAATACGTTTGCGCAAGTAAACTTGTGTTGCTTTCATCGCTGTCCAGATCCTCCGCCGTGAATTAACTATAGCAAGAAAGCAATCTTTATATTCCGTCCTGCTAGCTCTCTAATTTTACCTCAA